TAAGGAAATAAAGGAGTTACATTAGAAAATCTAATATTTTCATGAAATTATGTTTTATTATTGTAATTTTTTTCTTCATATACTTATCAACTGGTGCATTAAAACTAATCCTGACAAATGATTATACAAGTTGAGAAGGACATTAATAATTTTTAATTTTTTTGAAAACTGCATTGTTTTAAAGTTATTCCAAAAACTCTTTATGTGGTAATTTAAAAGTGTAAGAATCTCCATAAAATGTATTTAAAACTTACTATTTTTAAGTGTGAGAGATAAAAGTGTAAACAAATTTTATCTTTGTAAGATAATCATATAGTACTTGATAGCACAAAGGGCTCAAAACAAAAATTAATGTTTTCTTTTTATTACAAATACATTTTCATTGTATATTGGAAAAAACAAGAAAACACAAACATGAAACATATAGTTACATCTCATAACAACAAAACCAACCAGAGGCTTATGCCGTTTGCTCTGTACTCATCCATTCATTTCTCTGTATACCTGTCTTTCTCTCAAAATAATAGGTCTTGGGGCACCTAGGTGGCTCAGTGGGTTATGCATCTGTGTTTAGCTCAGGTCATGATCCCAGGGTCTTGGGATTGAGCCCTGAGTTGGGTTCCCTGCCCAGTGCTGAGCCTGCTTCTCCCTCTCGCTCTGCCCCTCCCCCACTTGTGCTCTTCCGCTCACTCTCTATCTCAAATCAATAAATAAAATCTTAAGGAAAATAATAGGCCCTTTCCCCCTTCTTTTTGCTTAACATTTCCTTTTTATGCTTAAAGTCATTTTTAAACAAACACAGTTTATATATGCATTCCCAATGTAATTGCTCTTTTATATTACTTAATAACACCCAAGTGTGACAGTTTGCTATTGTTGAACATTTAACTTGTATCCAGGTTTAGATATTAAATGGCATTTCTATAAACGTAATGTCAATAAATCCTTCTCCAGTCTGCCAACAAATGTCTCAAGTGACTGAATGAATGAGATACTTGCAAATGTCCACATATTCCTAACCCTCATACACGCATGTACTTCATTATTTGTCTATTAATCTATCATCTGATCCTACTCTTCTTATATGTCTAGTAAAGTTGGCTAGAAATAGATGTAAATGGAATTTCTGGGAAAGAGAGGCTATGAAAAGTAATGTGTTCTTTTCTAAAATTATAGAAACGGGACTCTAATTTTTTTCAGAACTGAAAATTACAGATTTTTTAGGTTGAGGGTTCTTAACGTAAGGTAGGAGAGAATATTAGAATCAACTGAGAGATGCTTTGAAGAGACAGCCTCCTCCTTGTGATCATGTTATCATTAGTGGGGCCTCAGGTTCCCCAGCTGATTCTGATTAGGCCCATGGGCTAAAGACACCACCTGTGGCCTCCTTACACCATTGATTTATAAGCCAGAAAACTGAACTCCACGGAATGCTGAGTGGCTCAAGTAGGAGAGGTTATTAATGCAACAGGGCAGAACCAAATGTTTCGGCCAGCATGCTTTCCGCTCGGCTTTTCTACGGAATTTTGTAAGTATATTCTTTGCAAGAGGTATTTAGTGGGAAAAAAGTCCCAGGGTCACATAAGCTTGAGAATGCTGGGTTAAAATCTTGAGTGAGGCCTATCTCAGAGCATTGATATTCCAATGTGCTTTGTTATTCTCTTACTGGAACAGCCTTTCCCCAATCTAAGTCAGTATGGCACTAGCCCCTGGAGTATCTTGAAAGATTGTTGTCTTATGAAACAAGTTTTTTTTTAAGATTTTTATATTTTATTTTATTTTATTTTTAAAAGATTTTATTTATTTATGTGACAGAGATCACAAGTAGGCAGAGAGGCAGGCGGGGGCGGGGCGGGGAAGGCAGGACCCCTGCTGAGCAGAGAGTCCGATGCGGGGCTCCATCCCAGGACTCCGGGACCATGACCTGAGCCGAAGGCAGAGGCTTTAACCTACGGAGCCACCCAGGTGCCCCAAGATTTTTATATTTTAGAGAGACCGCATGCGCGAGGGAGAGCGGGCATGAGCAGGGGGAGGAGTAGAGGGAGATGGAGATTGAGAATCTCAAGCAGAAGGGGTTGGGGGCAGGGGCACCTTGATCTAAGATCATGGCCAGAACTGAAACCAGAAGTTAGACGTTCAAATGACGGAGCCACTCTCTTCTGAAAACCTCTTTTGACAAATCCTCCTCACCATATTACCATTTTTGGACTTCTATTCACAAATCATAAAACTGTTATACATGGAGCATTAAAAAAGTAGATGTTCATTAATATGCTAAGTATTGATCAACCCAAATTTTTTCGTGAGTCGTTGCAAATGCAAATGTGACTGATTTCAACTGCCGGTAGTTTTAAGCAGTGGACCCCCCAGTGTCAGCAAGTAGTGCATCACCTGGAGGCCTTGTTGCCCTGCAGATCTCTCAGCCTTTCCCCGGGTGTTTCTGACTGAGGTGATTTGGGGTTGGAGCCTGAGAGCTCACATTTAAAAAATTTCAGTGGATCCTGCTGCTGCTTATCCAAGGTCCATTCTTCGAGAAACCATTGTTGTAAAATAAATGTTGAAATTTTCAGAATATTTTCAGCTGCGAAAGTGGGGACATCATTCATAGTTGGTGTCCTCTTTACATTCATCTTTTTACTGAAAGTCGTTTGTTTTAATGTGCCCCTTTCCTTATTCAAGTCAGTAGTGCTCAGGAACAGACAATGGAGTGTCAGTTTTTAAATGTCATAAAATCCAGGGTTGAATCCACAGCCGAATCCTAGTTACCATTTTCATTATTTATTAAATAACCATCGCAATCAAGGCTGATGTGTTAGGTTCAGAATTCCTTTGGCTCTCTCATTCCTATTTTCCTTATAACTCTTCTCTCTCCTTTCTTACACTCTTCATGTGCTACACACACACACACACACACACACACACACACACACACACACACACCTTTTTAGAAAAGCGTATGATTAATGCTTCAAATTTTAGATCTGAAACACTATTGCTTGGTTACATATTCAGTTTCTTTGTGGATAACTATTAGATACTTATGGCTTTCATTTGAAAATAATCAGTGATTGGTTTTCAAATATTTTTGTCAGTGACCAATTTTACAGTCGGCATCATGGTCTAACATGTGCACATATAAACACATACAGTCCTATCTGAAACACGAGTTTCACAAAATAGCTCTTCATTTTAATATACAGAGTGTACTTTTTTATATTTTTAAAATATGTTTTCACTTAGGGATTCCTGGGTGGCTCAGTTGGTGAAGTGTCTGCTTTTGGCTAAGTCAAGATCCCAGGGTCCTGGGATCGAGTCCTAACTCGGGCTCCATTCTCCGCAGGGAGCCTGCCTGCTGCTCCCCCTGCTTGTGCTCTCCCTCTGACAAAGTCTTAGTTTTTTTTTTTTTTTTGTAATAAAGTATGTTTCACTTAAATAATTTGGTCATAACCAAATTTAATATTTAATTTAAAGAATAATTTGGTTTATAAGTACCTATGAAATTGATTTCATTACCTGATGGTGGGTTGGATTTTTAGCTTTGGAAGACACTGACTTTTTTGTTTTTTGTTTTTCATTTAAGGCCATATTGTTCATATCAATGTCAAAATATTTCCAATGTTGCAGTTTCCCTAGGAAAAAATAAACACATGAGCATACACACACATACACATGTGTGTCCTAATATCTCAGGATATTAATGTGTTACTTGGTCATTTACATGTTCAGGGCTATATGGACAGCTGGACACAGTTTGTTGTAAGCCTGATGACTTTATGTTGTTGGCACTGTCTTCCAGCCTTCTTGGGAGATTTTCTGGTTGTCCAGTTACATCTTTTCTCTTGTTTATCACTTGTATCACTGTAGTGTGCTGCCAAAAGGAGTCAAATGTGATTTGTTTTTCAGTTTGGTTTTGAGGAGATTACCTTTGGAATATGGAAAATAGTCTCCAACACTGAGTTGAAAATAAAAACCCGCAGTTAATTAAAAAAAGGGGGGGCAGGTTTAAAACAACTGTATTTGAACTGGGGAAAAAAAATTAATGTAATTAGCCAAAACAACAACAACAAAAAGGTTACAGAGCTGAATTTTGCATCAATGAATGGAATTCTCAGTTTCCTGCGAGGGAAGGCCAATAAGGTGGTTCAGTATCAACAGCCTAGTTTGAATAGGTAGAAAATGAATTCTCAACCTTAAACTTTTGTGGGCTTTTCTTGAATCATTATTGATTGGACCTGACCCCCCACCTCAGGAGACAAAATGGTTGCAGTTAGGATTTAATTGTGCTTAATTACAAAAGATCTTTTTTTGTTAGTATACTTTATTTTTAAAACAAAAATTGGTACAACTGGAAAACCTGCAAAAATTAAGGGAACAGGATATAAAATAATCCTTCATTGCTATCCTTTTGCAGTCATGTTTACCATAAGTTGTCAAATGAAGAATTACCCTCAACCGCATTATAAGAATTGAGTAGCATAGTGAAATTTATATTGGGGGATAATCTTAATTTGATTCTATTTAAAGGAATTTGTCCTGTTCTATAAGGTTCTTTGTAATAAGTGCTGCATATGAAAAAGCTCTGCTCCCCTCAGGAGGATCCACAGTGACTCCAGCATTGAAGAAACGAGGAGAGAAGTTAGATTTTAATGTGAATATTATGAAGATAATACTAATTCTGATACCTGAATGTAATTTGTGTATCTGATATCATCATGGTACTATATACTTTTTTCTATATTTTTTCTATGTGGTTTCTTTTTTTTATTCTGATGAGTTTAATATATAACATTGGTTTCAGGTGTAAAACGCAGTTACTGGTATTTCTGTATATTGCAAAACGAGTACCACATTAAGTCTAGAGGTCATCATGGTCCTGTATTTTTAAATATTCTTGTAGATGTGTTTTTTGAAGACCACACATTTGTCAAATGAAGACAGCAATATGAGACTGTTATCTCAAGTTGTAATATTCTTTTTATTGTCTATCTTTTTGGATGCAGCCCGAAAAAAATGAGAGTGAGCCAGGCAGCCAGAGGATAAAACCTGTTTTTATTGATGATGCTAATTTTGGACGACAGATCTCCTATCAACATGCCGCAGTCCATATTCCCACGGACATCTATGAGGGCTGTAAGTCATAAAATTTAAACAGCTGTTGGAATACCATGCAGTTGTCTGTCTTCTCTGTCTCCAAACTGGGGAAGAAAAAGGAACAAATGGGATACCGTTTTGTTTCCATATCATTGAAGAGTCTGTGGTCAACTTTCTATAAAAGAAGAAATCTTATTTTCACAAGCAGTTTATGTTCCTATAGCCTCATTATTTGAATGTTTGTAGGAGAGTCTGCATCCATTGGGGATGTCCTCCTATTGAGTAAAAAATTCTGCCTTCCCAATTGCCATCGAAACTGAAAATTAATAGATTTTTTTAAAAAAATCAAAATTACATAGCACAAGTACACACAAATACACATATACAAACTATAAAGGGAGAGAGCGATACATTTTAGACTATGCAGTTTTAAATCCCGTCTTACCCTAGGATATAGTTAAAAAAATACACACCTCTCAATACACTGTGGACTCAAATTGAAGTTGGGGAAAGATGAAAGAAGTCGAGAACCACTGAGCGGAAGACTTGCTTGAGAAGAACTCACTCAGTGAGGGGAGTAAGTTACTTAGGAAAATAGAGGGCAGGGAACTTGTGCCCCTAGAGTCTCAGAGATAACTGATGTATTAGTAGGTGTAGAGCCTGAGAATCTGACTAGGATAATCTATTTATGAGGAGTACCCGAGACCCCGAAAGCAGGGGCTTTGTTCAGTCATAGCTCTGGTCTCCCATGTTCACCCTTCTCTAACCAGTTTCTACTCTCCCTGCTTGCCTAAGTAATTAGTAAGAAGAAAGGACCATTTGAGATTTTTTTAAAGTGTGTTTCTTATATTCCTCTTAATTAGAGAGGCTGTAGAGTGAATTGGGTATCTATAACTTCCTGGGTTCTGGAGCCAGATGGCCTGAGTTCAAAGCTAAATTTATGCAGGGTTGGTTTTGTTTTGTTTTGTTTTTAAGATTTTTATTTACTTGAGAGACAGCAGAAGGGCAGGGGGCATGCGGACGGAGAGGGCAGGGACAGATGCCCTGCTGAGCGGGGAGCCTGAAGTGGGGCTAGATCCCCAGACCCCAGGATCACGACCTGAACTAAAGGTAGACGATTAAGCAACTGCCCTTTTGAAATATTTTTTTCTTTTCTTTTTTTTTTTTTTAAATATTTTATTTATTTATTTGACACACAGAGAGAAGGCACACACCCAGAAGCACGGGGAGCAGCAGGCAGAGGGAGAGAGAGAAGCAAGTTCCCCGCTGAACAGGGTGTCCAATGTGAGACTTGATCCCAGGTCTGAGCCCAAGGCAGATGTTTAACGGACTGAGCCATCCAGGCGCCCCTGCGGTATTTTTTTCTTGAGCAAATGCTGTAAATTTTTGTGCAAGCATTTTCTCACCTGTAAAACGGGAATAAGATAACTAACCTAAAGATGAGTGAGGATAAAGGAGGTTAATATACTTGTATATTATATATACTCCAGCCTAGTAGTAGGTGCTATTTAAATGTTTAAATGCTCCTATTAATTATAATTCAAATTTATTTAAGCACAGGGGACTATGGACAGGGACTAAGAATATAAATTATCATTTATATTTTGGATTCACTGTGAGATTGTTTAAAAGGGAATTTGAGGAGCGCCTGGGTGACTCAGTGGGTTAAGCCTCTGCCTTTGGTTCAGGTCATGATCCCAGAGTCCTGGGATTGAGCCCCACATCAGGCTCTCTGCTCAGCCGCGAGCCTGCTTCTCTGCCCGCCCCCCCCCCCCCCCCCCCCCCCC